CCGCCAGCGCCTCCGTCACCGCGCTCGTACAAGCTGTAATACATTCGCTTCTTGTTCAAAATTAGCTCTATAGAGTATTAGCAGATATTAACTCAAAAAAACATATCTAAGACAAACCTTCCTGCTCGGCCATGAGGGTGCGAATGCGCGCACGGAGGCGACGTCGCTGGTCGTAGTCGCTGCACTCCTCCAGCTGCAACGAAAAGATAAGATTCGAATCCGACAGCTATGGTTTTTTGTATTTTATTGCGCGATACTACTACGTTATATGAAAACCAGTGTTGAAAAACTGTATTTAGGTTGAGTACAAATAGAAGAATAGCTGCGGAAGCGGTCAGCCAGCGCGCAAGCGGAACTAACGGCGTCCTACATTGCACCCCATGGTCACCGTCCACTGAGCAGCCCGCGGTTAGCCGATAGTCGTTGTTTGTATGTTGATGCACATAATCCGCTCAGTATAATATTTATATGCTGGTACATAGCACATATTGCAACTCACAAGCTGGCGCAGCTCGCGCTCGTCCCAGCACTGGTCGAGGTCGATGTGCTGCACCGTGCTGCTCCTGCTGGTCACCTCGCCGTCGCCGCTGCGTTGCACCGTCTCCTGCATCAACACATCACTTCATTAGCTAGGCGCTTAATTTGCCTAATTCCATTCTTTTATCTTGATTTATTTCTAAAAAATCTTTGTTATGTAGAAGACGTGACGACATGTCAGTAGCTGCTAACGAGTGCAGTGACCTTGTGTGGCGCCCTCCAACAACACGGCTGATTGAAAGAACTGACCCATTTTGTAACGCGATACAAAAATAATATTAAAAAACTTAAATGTTCTCAAACTTCAATTTTACCGCATATGTTGTTAATGTAAGTTATGTTTCGAGATACAGAAATCTTTAGAAAGTAATCATAAGAAATGTAGCAAACACAGCTGCGGTTGACATCGGCTAAGGTAAAATGCAACCTCATGCCGTTTGTCTGTACTTAAAGCCACTTGTCTCTTTAAGTGTTGTTAGAAAGCAATAGAAATTATTTTTTTGTTTGTCATCACGATATTTGTACGGATGAATTCTGTAAGCTGGGTACAGTCGCCTTTGAGCAATGTATCTACTCTAAAGGACGAGTTTCGAACATTTCAAACATTTCCGACTGATGTATATGTATTTTTGTATTCTGCTAATTTTCAAATCATCTTTTGACATCAACGTGAATGTCTACTGTTTGTTACGTTTGTCGTTTTATCGAAACCTAAACGCTGACGCTGATGTACTAACTGCCTCAGAGTCTTTGATTGTTCCCTTAGTGTAGTTTTAGTATGGGAAATTACTATATTCTACTACAATCAGTTTAATACTTTTGGCTTGTCATACTTCACATGAAAGAAGAAAATACTTTTCTAATTTTATCCAAAAGAATAGTTTTGGAGACATGTAAACTTTGTTTGTGTGTCGTGAGTTGAGAGATGTGTCTGACTTATAAGTCAGCGCATAACGATGTTTTCCGATAGTTTTGTTGCATTTGGCGGCGAAGGGCGTGAGGCCAATTCCGTACCGAGACGGAGACGCATTCCGCACTCCCCAACCTTGTGACAACATTTTAAATTATAATATTAGGCAGAATCCTTGATATTATTTAAAAAATCTAGTTATTAAAGAGTTGCAATAGAAACAGTAGTTTTATATATTTATTGCGACAAACCCCGAGTTAAAAAAGCTACATAAATAGACTCACAGGTAAATAAGCAGTCTCCGTGTAAACCTTTAATTAGTAATGAATGTACATAAAATTGTTTGTCGTCAGATACCTTGCCTTATGCGAGAGTAAACAATTAAAAATACAAGTTCAAAAGTGCAACAAAAACTTGCTTAGTCATGTACTCGAACTATATTGTTTACTGCTAAAAATAAACACGCATCATTATAGTTTTTGCCATACGAAGAGCGGTCTTGCCAAACTTCTTCACGTCTGCCCAAAGTCGATGCGACCGGGCGGCGGCGCAACTGCAACCTTACGATCCTATGTGAATTATAACTTTGAAATATAAGTTTTACGACGAATTATTTTAAGAAGAACATTAATACGATTAATTACGACATCAAAATTTATGTTTATAACGTCAGTTGCTAAACACAAAAATTAGTAGGTATTTATCTTGTTAATGTTAAAAACATTAACCAAGATAAATCGCACAATTGTGGCTTACGATAGTCGATATTGCATTGGAGCCTTCCAAGTAAAATGTCGTTCTTCGTTCAAAATGTTTTAAGAATGGAGTTTTAAATTAAAATGTTACCACAAACTACGAAAAGGCTTCGTAATGGTTTTTACTAGGAAAACAGTTCGTTATAGTAACCTATTAATTAGCGGAAATGAACTAAATATACGCGAACAATTCTTCGTATAGTAGAAGATCAGTGGGCCAGATTGTTGGCAGGTCACCGGCCGCCGCCGTCCACTGCCGACCGCCGACCGTTGATCGCCGGTAGCTATAGCATACGTTTAAAAATACAACAATCTGTTAGCCTCACACGTAATACACTTTCTTTGCAATGTTGCGACGATATACAAAGTTCGGTTAGTGATTTGCAGTTTATTTAATGAAAGTTATCTTAATATTCAGGCGTCTTTCGCAATCCTTTTACTTTAATGTTTATTACGAACGACGATAAACATTAAGTTGATTTTCAGATTCTTTCTGATTGTCATAAGCGATAAAACGAGTTTACGAATTTCGATTTGTATGAAAGAACCAATATAACAGTTAAAATTGATAAATCTGAAACATACGGTACGTTATATGTAGCATTTATATTCTGAAGATGCCATTTCTATAATGTTTTCGCAATTATCAAAGGATTTAATTTCGAATGAATTGCACAACAGTTTTATTTAACGACTTAAAAACAGCGGCTCCCGTTGCTGCAAACTTTCTATTTGTTAATTTTCACTTTAATAACATTCAATGTGTTTTTGAAAAATAGTTTGCACGATTACTTGCTTTATATCTCCCGGTTTACGAAGATAAATTACATTCCAAGTCACCTAAGGCATGTTTAATATTCACTTGAAGCTCCTCTGACTTGTAGAGGAAAGAATGTTAACTCATCATAGTGTTTTGTTTGGTTGTGATGTGATCTCAAGTCCAGCGGTAAAAGAGTTTGGATAGAAGCCAGATATTCACTGAGGTTTAAAAACGTTATCTTTGTTCTGAAGGTCGTACTATATTCATAGATTTCGTATAACTATGAAGTGCTGATATGTTTTGAACGGTTAAACCACAGATGAACGCTTTGCATCGCATCACAACTAGCGCGTGCGGTATTTGCATATTTCTTACTTGATTTTAACACCATATGAGTTCAATTCTTTTATAACGTTTACAATAGTTAAAAACGTTGCGGATCTAAAATCAATTCTACATGTAGCTGTAAAAGCAAATGGGAACATTGACAATAGAAATTTTACAGCGGCAGAACATGAATAAGAAAAACGTTTATTGCAGTTATAAAGCGTAAACGCGGGAAAGCTGGCGAGCAGCGGAATGGCGGCCGACACCGCAACTTATAATGGAAATATTGCGGTTATAAGTATTACGAATATGAGTGCAATCTCGGATCAACTGGTAGTGTTTAGTGGTAATGGAAGGTGATTGTTTACTACGTCGCTATCACCAACGAAATCCAAATAATCAGTTTCCCAGTTTACAATCAGTTAAATTTAAAAGATCTACAAACAAAGCATAAGTTAAGTAACTTTTAATTTTTGAAACAAATGCAAGTAATATCTAAACTACAACTATGTTACTTAGAATCACTTAGAATAGTTTGTTAGTGGCATGCTGGCACGCGGTAGGTGCGTCACGCTGGCCATCACGTGGAGTCCGAAAAGAGGAACTACGTAGTGTGTAACAAGTTGTAAACATAACAACACGTGCTAAATTATATGCGTAATAACATATTGGATATATTTAATTAAATTCGAAGTTGCTGAATAACGATGACTTTTATGTTTAGCTCGTAAACGTAGAAACGTGTAAAAAATGGATCAAGGTGAGGTGTCGCAACACCAAAAGAGGCGACGAGAGCGCACGGAGAGGGTTCGACGGCCAGAGCTGGCAACACACCAATACAACTACTACAACATTCAAACTTTATAACGGCTTGTGATTAGTTGCGATCTAGCAGTTATCTATCAGTCATCAGCATCTAGCAGTCTCTAGCAGTTGCAAGCGAAATTCGGAACGTACCCATATCCCAGTATCCTTAATTTTGCAATTAGAACAACAAGTTACAAAATACTTCAAATAGTATTTCAACAATTTAAAAATTCTAACCCAAAATCTACTTAGTGTCCGGGTTACAGTATTGTAGGACAGGTCCGGGGAATGAGGAAGAGGCCGCACTAATTACAAGACACAGCGTCGTCGTCGTCATTCGTGTTAATAGCACAAAGGTATAGGCAACACGCAACAAGTTGCATTAAATTCAATTTAAGGAGACAAACTAAACATATTCGTGTCTTTTAAATGATATAAAACTGAAAACATCTGTGTATATGATTGCTCTCAAACACCGCTTCCTGGTAATACAAATATTCGATATCAAAATATCACCGTAGCAGGTGCATGTTATTGCGTAAGTCTCGATACGTGCACAGGCGCAGCGTAAATGAACAATCGCGTAGATCGTGCGCGGGTTATATTTGTCAAAGTGTGGTATATTGGGCGCGGAGTGAACGCCCTGTCATACCTCCGGTGCCACAATTGATGTACGAAGCTGTCCTGACGTTGAGCGACAGCGGACTTTAAAGAACTTTTTTATGCAAAAATATTTTTACCTGAAGACAATGTGCGACTGTAACAATCTGTAAAAACTGTTTGTCGCCTATGCATTCTTCAAGTGGATAGATTTTTATGACAATTTGGTAGGACGTTCAGAGGATGCCAAGGAATAAGTCTGCTCCAAAATATCTTAAGAATGAAATAAAACTATTTTGCTTACATGACATATTTTGATTATGTAGAACGGATGATCAGACCGCATTGAACCTAGTAGAATAAAACACACCTTAGTCCGCTACCCGACCTCGCCAGTACTATAATCGCTACCTAATGTAATTTGGCAATGATAGCCGTCGGAAATAATTACTGTGCAACAAAATTAATAAAATTATTCTTTGTTGATGAAGGATCGGTTTCTGTGAGTTTAGATAAAAAGGTGACAATATAACGGTGGAGTTTAAGTGGAGTTACCATTGTTAAAAACAATGGTAATTCAAAAAATATATAGGAATTAAAGTTTGTATGGAGAAATGTTTCGCGGTGAAAGCCGCGGGTGAAACATAGAACATGATTGTTGCATTGCGAGTCAGCAACACGGAAGTGCTTACAGTTTTATGTATTGAGAACTACACCAGACTTTGCGCGACTAAAATTAGCCAGGCCTTGATAGCTCGTGCGTACATCATTTAGTGCAAATAAACTGGACTAAACCGCCGACCGAACTTTGTATACGTTTCTAATATTTAATGAACCTTGTGATGTCAGTAACGTTAAAAAAAAGTGAAATCAAAACGATTTTAATACGTTAGTATAAAATGTTTTGACGTCTAACAAGATCTTACGCCAGGCGATGTTCTTCCGGGGGTAAAAACTGAAACATGTATGTTTGTATTTTTATACGATTAGAGATTGCAAAACTTCAGAGCTGTCGTGTTAAAAAATAACTTTAAACAGTTAACAGACTAGCTTTGTATCATTCAATCATTGTTTATGTATAAAATGCCAGTGTAGTAACAAAAGTAACTTAAGTAGGAGTATATTGTTTTGTTGCAATAGTATCATATGCAAAACCGCAGGGGAGACATCGCGTCGCCGTCGGTAAGCAAACACTAAGCCACGTGCTGCAATTGATATGCTGCGTATCGGCTTGCGGCCGCATTGTCCGTCGCTGCGATACCTCACCGCTGACCTCTAATGCCGACCGCGACCCCATACAGACGCGAAAGCATACCGGAACAGAAGTCAATCCAGCATGGATTTGTTTTATTCCAGTGAACCATTTACGAACTACACTTCAACACGAAACGAAATCTAACATGAGTTAATTTAGCGTTTCAAGTAAATGTATTTTACATTACAATGTTTGTGTTGCAGACTTCAACATCTCTTTTATTTTTTACAACAAAATTTTCTATAAAAAATAGAAAATGTTGCCGTTTAAGATTTCTCTAAAATTTTTTTAAGCTCTTATATAAAACTTTTGAAGGCATTTCACAGGATAAGAATCTTATTAGAATAAAGGTACCAAAGAATTAGATAGATACGATATACATGCGAATAAAACGGCGGCGGCAGCAGCGGCGCGGGAACATCCGCATAAAAAGCTCTAATTTACAACTTACAATATTCTCTATAAGAAGGTTACAAAATATAATACGTTACATTTTTCGATTTGATAATCAAATAAAATTGTTATATCAGCACGACATTTTATCAGTATACTACGAGTATATTAGCATAGCAAGAGAAAATTAAACATTTTGAATTTCCTTACAAGACTACTGAAGATTAAAAAATATCTGGTATTTAAAAGAAATGATAAATGAAATATATCTAAACTTAATAGCAATAGAAGGAAGAAAGTACAAAATGTACGTACAATGTTTTTCGCCAATGTGAACTAACTTAACTACGAGACCAGAAAAATATATGTATAGTTGCCGAAAACGTAAATGAAGTAAGTTTGTAAAGGTTTTGCATAGTTTAGTAAAGAAAGGCAACAAACGGAAATCGTAAAAGCACTTACCTAACAAAAGCTCGATTTAAAATAAGCAATCTTAAAAGTTTACAAAGCACTACGTGTAATCGGAGAAAATATTTTTGATTAATGACACTTGCTTCCGGTCACTGTTATATTTTGAGACCATAAATTATGTCTTTTTTTTATTAAGTTTTATGTCGTGTCAATTTTGACATGGACTGATCTGCTCGGGTGTTTGGAACGGACTGCGCGAGCGGCCGTTGATGACGTCACGGTTACGAATATAGCACGCAAATTCGTTTAAGGCAATTTCTCTGCATGAGACTTTGTTTCAATGGTTTTGAAAGTCTAAATTAGTTTGCGCCGTGTGTCGAGATACGTCGTTACAAAGAAGCAGAGTCGGCGAAATGTCGGCGCGGTGTTATTTTTGGCGCGCTTTTCGCGTTTCCCGCGCGTGTCTTTAAACGGCGCGGCGCGGGCGCATCCAGCGCGCGCTTTTGTTTACTATTGAATTCCTCTCCGATCGCATCGATACGCATTTAAATTACGCCATTATTTATAAACATTTTAACAAAATTGCGACATGGGTTCAAAATCCACGAGATTATGAATATAAGTATGATTATGAATTAACACAGGAATGTTGCTCTTATTGTCAAAGCGTATCAGTTATCAGGTAAACGTTAATTTCCATTATGCGTATATTACTAATCTAAAGTAAAGTAAAGTAATAGACAAATTAGTAATTTCCCCACTCGCAACCCGAAGAGAAAGTAAGTTTTGCGCGGATTTCTGGTGTATTAAAAAAAACGAATATGTATTGTGGAAATATTTTCAAAATTTCGTATACTCTTGTACGCTGTGGCGTATCACTAGTGTAATAAATCATTGGCAGGCGTGTTGCAGTGAGCAGTGGCATGGCAGGAGCTGCGCGGTGGCTGCGCGCTGTGAACTTGGCTGCCGCTGCACTTCCTTATACCGGTACGTAATTACAGAGATGAATCAGTGCACGTGGATAGTTTATGCAAGTAATGAAAGCCAACATGATTGATTTACAAAAAAACTATTTCTAATTATTGCGATAATAACAACGCGATATTAACTGGTAAGTAACTAGGAAGTCCTATAAAGGATAAGATTATTATAATTGTTCCTACAAAAGAATTTAAAAAAAAATCGATGACACATAACCTGTACTTGTTAAAAGTCTCTTAATCGCTTGTAAAGTTTCTCCTATGATATCCTTATATGAATGGTTGTAAGTCTTATTATTAAGTGTATTGATTTATTATTTACTACGTCTCATTAGAGGCACAATTAGTACAATTTAAAATAGGAAATGTTTTATAAACGTTGTAACATTTGGTGTGTAGTTGGTGCGCGGCCAAGCTTGTGTTTGTATTATGAACTAGTGCGGTAATTTTAGTATGGATAGAGTCCGTTGCCGCCACTTTGGCGTCATGTTTGTTTTTAAATATTATTTTGATCAATCAGAACAAGCCGACGCATTTGTTATTCAGTGTCGTAATTAGACCTGTATTAAGATTTTAAGTCGCAATCGCATCCTTTAACTTCCATTTAGTTGAAATTATAATTTCACGGCGTGTTGTGCGAAATTACTAGCTGCTGTAAAGTTTGTGTGACCTTAGCGATATAACTGACCTGTTTGATGACCACCTTTCCTCCCGCGCTCTCGGTGACGTAGCCCTGCATGCCGGCCATCAGCACGCTGGCGCCCAGGAACTTGTTGAGCAGCGCGCGCGCCTCCGCGTCCTCACCGCAGTCGGTATCCTCCACCACTGCTCACACATACATACACATGTATTACCACGATAACACATAAGTCTGCGTGCCGAACCCCTAATTTAGTTTCTCTTTCCACGTTTTTCCTAAAAAGTAAGGGGAAATGGATATGATGTAGGTGGAAAGAGCATAGAAATTATCCTCTTTCTACACCGTCGATTGAAAGCAGGCAGCGCATCTGTTGTCTATGGGCAGCGATCGCTTCGCGATTTTAGCAAATTAAGGTGGTTGCTTACGCATTGGCCACTCTATGATTTAAAAGATCTTCATCATCATCATCTTCCTCCTTATCCTACTCCCGTCGCCAAGAGTCGGCGCAATAGGTTTTTGTCCTCCTCATAGCTCTATCCTACGCCATCTTAGTCATCACTCCCTTTTTGATCATGTCACCTTTCACACTTCATCCATCTCTTTCTAGTTCTACCTGTACCGGTGTACCCTTACACACGCATAACTATGATTTAAAAGAACTATTATTGACTAATTTGTTTCTTGGATATTTTCAGAAAATCTTACCGATGTCAGCATTTTTCATCCTGCTGAGTATATCCTGCACGCCGGTGACCTTGGTGTCGCTGTCGAGGAAGGATCTCTCGTGACGCGCGCGGCTGCGCGTCGTGGTCGTGGTGGTTGTCATGCCGTCGCCGCGCTCCTGCCGGCTGCTGGTGATGCTCACCACGCCCTCCTCTGCAGAGGCCAGGCTCTGCTCGCTGTCGGTGCGGTGCAGTTCTGACACAATGAGAAAATATTGTAGACAGACAAAGTCATCGTTGATAACGGAAGGAATAAAAGGAAAGTTTTTAGAACCTAGAAGAATAAGTACTTATTTTATAATGTCCATAATAGTCTTTAATAGGTTAATCTTTGCAAAAGCAAAAGTTGAAATTATTTTATCTAAAAGTTGCCAACTAACTGTAGCCAATCGGCTTCAATAAATACCTTATAATTCAGTTAAACTGTAAGTAAATTTATGGAGACGTGCCGACATTAGAAAAAGAGTAAAGGGTCATGTTTTGTAGCTTGTAGCTGTACAAAAACAATCGTACATAGTTGTGTAAATCTATTTGTATAGTTGCCACGTTTATCCCACGGTCAAGTCAACTGTAATCACATTTATCGCATTACTATTGTCTGACATTTAATGTTTACAAGAGGTCAATGAACGAGCGAGGAAGTGCCGTGCGAATAACGATACTTTGCCTTACAAAGTTTTAATGGCAGGAAACATTTAAGTACTGCTCAAATATGAATGGGGTAAAAAATAATGAAACACTATCACCGACTGATACTAAATGTTGATGATTACACAAATTAATGTTTTCTAACTAGTTTGTAGCAAAGTGTCAAAGACTAAACGATTTGCAAGACTCACCAGCGTGTGTAGAATCGTTAGATCCACTATCCTTGATACTTGTGCTCCGCAGGATGAGCCCCGCCTTGGGATACGTCACCCGCTCGTTCTTGCTACTCTCACCTACGAGATTACACAAATAAACCTTAACTTACAACAAGTTGCGAATAAAGTATTACATAATATTGTTAAATTCAGGAGTCGTAGCTTCACGTAATAAAAATCAACAAATTGAAAGAACCACTTATGTTACGTTGTCATAATGATAAGTTGCAAAGATCCGATGATTCAGCCACCGTTCCGTAAGCTTATTTACACTATCTCCTGCCTTTTTTTATTTGTTTTTGAACATAAATTAAATTTAATCTCTATCTAAAGTTATATGTAAAAGCTTTAATACCTCTACGAAGTCTTCGATTAATGTCAAATTTCGCGGCTTTTGTTTGTTTTTGTTATTAAACCTTTTTATTTTTAAACACCGTTAAGTTGCCAGTGCGCAGTGTAACTAGACAGGTAACAAGCGAGCACTGAACAGTGAGCGGTGCTGGGGCGAGGTGCGGCGAGGTGCGGCGAGCTGCGGCACGTTCGAAAGTGAACTCATTACGTAAGTCAATTGCAGGCTGTTAGAGAGTCTGAAGTTATGTGACGTCACGCCTAGCCTTCTTCACGTCTTCTATGTTACAGTTGCTTTATTAATGAAATGATAAAGGCTTACCGTCATCGAGGATTACATCACTTAAAGTATATATCGCTGTTTTAATTGGTTAATACGGCGCAGAAAATAAAATCAGAATCGATCGGAAATTAGTTGCTCTCGCTTATGGAGATCATTAACTGAATAACTTTACACAAAGGCGAATTACAAAAAAGTATGAATATACTCACTTGCATTCTTGATGAATTTCTCCGTAAGACATTTGACGGAACCTTGTCGCAGAACAGTCTTCTTGTTCTCTACCCGTCTCTCATTCCTGCCAGTGTCTTGGCTTCGTGGCTCTACTCTTTGCACGTTTTCAATCCTATCCACTCTTTCCTCCCGCAATCTACCGTCTTTCTTTTCACCATGACTAGTTCTTCGGCTTCCCACTCTTTCTTCCCTCATAATTTCAGAGTACCCGTCGTCTACTGTTTCTTTTTGCCTACGATTATCCTCTCTTTTGCTCTCCATTGCGTGTGTTTCTGAAATTTCCTCCTGATTGTACTTTTGTGTGCAGTCTGTTTCTTCAGATCTTGTTATTTCTGCGTTGTATTCGTTGTCTATGTCCTGTCGTGTCACGTGGCGGCGCTCTGTGTTATATCTGTCTTCTTTGTCAGTGACGCTGTGCTTCCTATCGTTGACATCCTCTATGTACCGAGTCTCAGAGGAGCGCTCGCTTCTGTCCTCGCTGACGCGCCTGTCGCTGTGTGTGAACTGGTCGAGTGCGGCGCGGTCCTCCTTCTGTCAAACAAATCGACAATTCGTCACGGCGGGGAACAAAAAATGTAATGAACCTACTTCGATATCGCCTCTTGTACGGTGCGGCGAAGGTTGAGTTGATGTAATTTTTATGTACAAATTAAACGTCTTTTTAAATTAAATGTTTAATTAAATCAACAATAATTGATTGCTAAAATTTTAGGACTGGATACATGTCCTAAAATTTTAGCAATATCGTCCTAATGCAGTCAAAATTAAGTACTTATCTGGTTTCCTTTTACAACTTCATGATTTGTTATGTATAGATATTTCCTTTTGTAATTGGTAGAGTTAAAGTGTAAAACCATTTTTATATTCGTTTATTCCAACTATTTTAAAATTACGTGTTTTACTTTTGAAGTGGTTTATTGCTAATAAATTTGTGAAGGCGCTTACAGTATGAATCTCGCTGTATGTAGTGCCGCTGTCGCCGCCAAACTTCTTAGTAGTGGTGATGGCGGTGAGGCCGTGTAGCTTGGAGGGCCGCTCGCCCTGCTGCTGCAGCAGCTTCTCCAGGTCTTCCGGCTCGGTGGAGTACGCGGTTACGGAGACGGAGCCTACGGGTTCGCCTCCATTCTTAGAATGATACTCTTGGCGGATCACAGTACCTTTGACTGTAAATATATAATTGATTAAAAATAAACTACACACTAGTAAAAAAATGTTCTTAACATTTATGCAAGACAATAAACTCGCATATGATCGAGTACAATGCTTCACGACTATTCACCTTGAAAGTGATCTTGTAACTGAACCGCGGTGATATTTTATACCCATATGTTTAATCCTATTCATATAACCAGTACCAAACCTGTCACGTCTCTCGTATTCTCCTTTTTTTCTTTTGTTAAAACAACACATGTTTTGCTTACAACTTTTATGTATATAAGAGCTACTAACATAATATGTATTTTAAAGTCTTTTTCCTTAAGTGTTCTTAAATTACAAAAAAAAAAAAGATAAAAATACAAATGTTTGTCTTATAGATTTCTCGTTAAACCTGTATAAATATTTACTTAAATAGTGATGTGAATCATTTTGTATGACATTACCTTGATAGTTTGTGGCCCCTTTCCTCAGCGCTTTGATACCAAAGAGCGGCCTGCCATCGGCGTCGAGTGGCCCGGGCCCGTAGCTAGATGTGATTACGTCAATTGGCTTAGAGATTACTTTAGATGGACTTATGGAACGATACTTCGGCTTCTCATTCTCCGCTTTCTTGGTGTTGTACGTGCGAACGGATGATGTCACTTTCTTGAGATTCCTGTTGGTCACCCAGGAGGGTTTCTCCTCCTGTTGCGGTTTAGAAGAAATCTTTTTTTCGATATCATTTACAGCTTTGCCTGCAGGTTCCTTTTTCTTTTCTATGTGCGGTTTTCTTTGCACCGGCTCGGCGGCTGGCTTTTGAAAGTCAGGGCTACGGCTCCGAGACTTTTCTGGACTCTGAGGTCTGCGAGCTGGACTTGGGCTCTTCTCAAGTGAGGAAGACCTCTTTCCATTCACCTGCACAATCTCGATAACATCTTTCGATGATGTACGTTCTGTTACGTTCTTTGTTATAATTGTCGCAGAATGTTTGGTCTCCACAGTTTCTTGCTCATCTATGACATGAACCAGACTCGGTTGCTCTTGACTTTTAACAGTTTGCTCCTGCTTTACCACGGTAACGGTAGCTTGTACAGGTGTTTTTTTGGGTTTCTGAGATGAAGTTTTAACTTCTTCTGACCTCAGACCGATCTTCTTCATATACGCTGTAGCATACTCGCTAAAACGATTGGATTTCGGTTTCGGCGTTGCTGTTTTTGTAGGAGACACGGGCCTACCTTTTTTATCAGGACTTCCAGGACGCATTGGACTTTTAGATATAGGTTTTGTCTTTTGAGAAAGTTTCGACGGACTTTGAGCTCTTTTTTCGTCTGTAATGTTGTCGGGTATCTTAGCATGACCATTAGGTAATGGACTATGCTGTTCTTTAGGCTTTGTAGGTTCAGACGACACATGTTCGGTTTGTCTTCTTGGTGATTGCCTTACAGGAGAAGGAGATTTGGGAACATTTTGTTGGAGCTTTTTGTTGGATTCGAGTTCAGGAGATGGTTCTCTATCGACCGAGGGCTGTTTACCAGGTGATTGCATTCTGGTGTAGGATTTAGGTTCTCTCTCTGGTGACTTTTGTGGAGTAGATCTGGATTGACACTCAGGCGTGCGTGATCGCGGTTGGCGTTCCTGTGAAGGAGCTTTCTTGACGGTCGTCACGGTTTCCTTTGTTATTCTTGTGGTAACAGCGTCATTCTCTTGATTTTTCTTAGCAATACGGATTTGCGCTCGAATGCGACGTCTCTGTTCGTAACCCACAACCTTTTCCAACTGTAAAATATAAACTATATTAATAAATCGCTGAGGGATCAACTTAAGACTTTTTAACACTTCTGATTCGTTACTTTCTGAATAATATCGATAGCTACATAGGTCAATTACCTAATTTCACTTAACTATACAAAGACGTAAGTTTTATTGTTACTAATACTCACCATTTGCTCTAGAAGGTCAACATCATAGATATCTTCAATACACGGCTGGTGGTGCTCGACACTGCTGCGACGATGCTCGTTTGTTAAAGTGGATCTCTCAATACTCGTCCGTCGCAATTCAACACCAAACTTTCCACTTCCTCGTCGACTGATAACTTCTGGTTCTTCTGTTAATTTTGGTTCCTCTTTTAGTTGGCTGGTTTTTGTTGGACGCAAATAGCCAGGGACTTTGTCATGCAATTTTTCATTAACATCATGTTCGCGTCTCTGTTGAGGAGATTCTGATCTCTCGGATCTGGAAGCTGAAGTTTGCTTGGTGATAGTTGTAGTTGTTTTTGTTTCAACTCTTTGCTGCGCTGGTGATTTGTTCCTTACAATATCTGGAGATTGTGTTCGCGCAGGGCTACGGCGTGGCGTTTCTGATTGTTTCCGTTCTGGTTGCTGAAGATTACCTGGACTTCCAAAATCCGATGTACAGGTCACTTCGTCATCGTTGCTATCAAAATTATCTGCTTTAAGAGTTTTTTTATCTATCGGCTTGGAAACAGTTGTTGTTGTTGTTAGTGTAGCTTTGGGAAACTGTTTATTCTCCGGTCGTTTAGTTACCTTCGTGTAAGTGATGTCTTTAGTTGTTTGCTTGTTTGTTGCAATATTTTCGAACAGAGCTTTTGCTTTTTTTACGGCGTCACTGCTACGTACAGGTGTGATTTTTTGAAGAACCCTTTCAGTTGGCTTGTTAGACCTAATGGAACTTTCTTTCGTCGTCTCCTGAGTGAGCAACGATTTATTTATAGATTCTTCTCGAGTCTCTAATTCTTCTTTATGTATTTCTTGATGACTTTCATCAATTTTATAATCGTCATCCGATTCGTAATCGATATTTTCTATAATTTTTCTCATAATTTTGTCGTGCTTTTCTTTAATTTTCTTTTCTTTTTCCTCTACCTCGTATGATTCGCACAAGAATTGTTCAGCTGTTTTAACAAACTTATTGACTTTGTCAGAAACGCTAAGCAAACAGTCATCGCTTTTTAAAGATTCGTCAACATCGGTCAAATCAGGACGTTCTATTTTTTGACCTATTTTTGGCTTGGAGACCTTTGTGTTCTCGGCTGTTTCAACAAATAAATGAGCCTTATCATTAACGCTAAGTTTAGTGTAATTATCTTGGTAAACAGTTTCCCTATCGTACTCATCTTTTATGTTTCGTGATGGGCTTACACTGTCCTTTGTATTTCTTGGACCCTTGGCAAACTTGTTTACCTTTTCAGAAACTGAAAGCAAACACTCGTCTGTAGAAAGATTTTCTTCAACAACGTCGGTATGTACTCTCTTTTCGGTTTCTTTAAAACGGTGAGAACTTTCTTTAGGTTTGTTTACAGTCTGAAACTTGTTTGTAAACCTAGAAACTTTATCTGTGACTGTAAGCAGACATTCATCCGACTCAATTAGATTACATTGGTCGGTTCTTTTTACAAACAATTCATCATCTTCACATATCTCAACTATGTCATCCACAATAGACTCTGCTTCGTGAATAGTGTGATGCGCTCTCTTGTTCAAATCATCGTCTGGTTCATTAACTTCATCGGGGAATCTGGGAATACCGACATCTTCAGAGAAATTGATTGGTGTAGGACAAATACGATCTGGTGAATTTTCTCTGGAAGACTTTGCTTGCTGCACGTCAATAATGACATCATCTTCGTCATTTGATGTATTTAAAGAAGTAGCAGACTTGGGTTTACTAGGTAGTTTAGACTGTGACTCTTTTGATATAGATTTAACGTTCTTAGAAACACTTGATAATTTATTAATCTTTGAAGTTGAAATATCGTTGACTTGTATTTCTGGTTTAGACTTTATTTTTTGCGGTGATAATGGCTTCTTGGATTTAAGTGTACTGTCACTACTTGTTCGTGTAACTTTTACATCGGATTCTTTTTTAACACCCACATCTTTGTGTAACATCTTTGAAGTTGGTGTTTTTCTAATTTCTGTATCAGCGGTCTTGTTAACAACACTGACTTTAGTAGCCGATGTTTTCGTAGTTGAACTTTTGTTGAAACTATTCTGTTTTGTTACACCCGTTGACTTTTTATGTTCGCTTGTTACAGTTTTGTCAAGTTTAGTTGGTGAAGGTTTACGTATTAGCTGAGAAGGCAAATGTTCTTTAGGTTTAACTCCAATTTTCTGCACTTGCGGAGATTTCGGTCTCTCTGTTGAAGTAAAAGGTTTTTTAGGAGATGTACTTCTAGGTTTACTTTCAGGAGTATCTGGTCTAGGACTGTACACGTTTGTTACTTTCTTAGTAGGTGAAACGTTCCTAGATGAAGGCTTGCTAGATACTTTTTGATCTTTTGTTTTATCAATTTTAGGTTTTTCGGCATGAGTTTTATCATGTCTGACGGCTATTACGCGTTTTTGTATTGTTTCAATGATTTCGTTTGCATCAAGTGTTTCATTTTCCTCTACATTTTCTGTTACAACGTCTATATCCTGTAAGCAAATAGTCGCCTTCTCTGGACTTTTTTCTCGGCTTGGAGCTTTTTCCTTTCTATCCGGTGATAATTTTCTCAGAGACTTTTGAACTCGATCTAAAACTTCTTGTTCTCTTTCTGACGATATAAATTGACTTGTATAGTCAGTTGTTGTAAGATCCTCTACCTTATTGTGAATATAAGTCAATGATTGATTTTCCGGTTTATCTGTAGACTGTGTTACTTTCCCTGGTTTATCGGAAATGTTTGTTTTAGTCTCCTTTCTCAATATACTCGACTTGGATGCTACTTTTTTCTCCGGACTGTGAGGTCTTCCGTATTTGCTAACTTGGTCATGTGGATGATGAATTGGAGATTTATGTCCTGTAGGTTGTACCGCAGGTTTAGATTCTGTGCCTGTGTCCGGTTTATAAGAAGTTCTCAACCCGTGTCTTACGTTTGAATCCGAAGTATGTTGAGAAGTAGTACGATCTGGGCCCGGTTTCCTTTCAGGTATTTTCGATGCAGGTTTTTCATCAGGGATTTTGTGTTTTCTTTCAGGACTTTGATGCGGTGAGGTACGTTTATTAACAATTTCTTCGTGAATTTTCTGTACATCAGTAATTTTTGACATATCCTGTGATTTAGTAGCAGTGTAATGTTCTGTGTGAGAAATTATATCACGTAATTTTGTTGGAGAAGTGTCTCTAGATAGAACTTTTTGGGGTAGTTCTTTATCATGTTTCTGATGAGATTCTTGTGGTTTTGCTGAGACTGATTTCTTTGTAGGTGAAAAGTCGCTAGATGGTAATTTATCTGTTTCAGGCTTCTTTTTAGGTGAAGATTCCCTTGTTGATAATTTATCTGACTCAGGTTTCTTTGTAGGTGACGAGTCCCTGGTTGGTAATTTATCTGTTACACTTTTCTTTGTAGGAGAAAAGTCTCTGTTTGATAATTTCTCTGTTTCAGTCTTCTTTGTCGGCGAAGAGTCCCTGATTGGTAATTCAGTTTCAGGCTTCTTTTTAGGTGAGGCGTCGCGTACTAATGTTTTATAAACAACTGTTTTATTAACCGCGGAATCTCTCCCTGGTGTTTTCTGTACTTTATCAGAGTCAGGTTTTTTAGGCGAAGATTCTTTTGCGGGCGTGTCTTGTGACTTAGTTGTGTCTGGTTTTTTTGTAGGCGAAGAATCTCGCACAGATGTTTTTTGTGACTTATCTGTATCTAATTTCTTGACAGGTGATGTATCTCTTGAAGGTGTTTTTTGAGGTTTGTCTATAGTAGTTTTATTTGTGGGCGACAATTCTCTTGTGTGAGTTTTATTTGCTGTGTCTATGTCGGTTTTCTTCGACGGGAAAAACTCCCTCGACAAAGGGGATTTTGACCTCGTCTTTGTCGTTGATATATCGCCGGAAGACGAAACTTGGTGATCAATAACCCATGAAGAATCCTCTGTTATTACCTTTTCATCTTTCTTAGAAAATATTTTCTTGTTGTTTTTCGGTGTTTCCTTAATGAAAAGTTGGTTTGTAACGACCGTTTTCATAGAATCTTCTCTTTCTTTTGTCAAAAAGTCGCTAACTGTAATATTTTCTTCCTTTGTTTGATTATAATCTTTACATTCCAAAATTAAAGAATTGTTGCCTGGTTCTGGACTTGTACAAGGGGACACACTAGGAGAGGAAACCTTAGAAGTCTTCGAAACTATAGTTGTTTTAGTTTCTTCGGTAGATATCTTTGATGAATTGTCTTCCATCATGCCAAGTATCTTACGACAGCGTTCTTCGTAGGTTTCACGTCGCTCAAGTGGTGGTTTAGGCTTTACTGGAGTAGGTTCTGATTTTTGTATTTGATCCTTCTCCTTTTGGACTCTCTGATCAGTGAAATCTTTTGTTTCGGTTGTCGGCGACACTCGGAAACTGGATGGCGGATGTTCTGTTGGAGATGTTTGAATATTTTCAGTGGGTGGTTTTTTTAAAGAGCTTTTCCTAGGAAGACTACTTTTGTTAGGCGGTGAAATTTTTTGCGGAGACGGAGATCTACAAGGTATTTTTGAAGGCGACGTAGGTCTCGTTACCTCAACTCTCTTATTGATATCGTCTGTAAACACTTCCGTTGAATCCGTATATGTCATACTATCGTCAAGGTCCGTAACAATAACATCTTCTCTACGAGGAGAACTGAAATACACAAATCCACTAGCAGACGTAGTGGGAGAACTCTGACCTGTTGATGGCTCATCTTCAGTAGATTTTGGTTTTCTTGTAGGACTGCTAGAGGGAGTTATTAGTTGGCGCGGTCGTCCCTTCGTTACTGTATCTTTCACAACATTAGTTTTAATTTTGTTGGTCTCTTCTGATATTTTTTCAGTATCAATGAAATCAGTAGTCTGTTTATGTTTATTTTCCTTTATTAAAATTTTAGTTGGGGAAATAGTGTCTCTCGTAATAGGCTTAGATTGTTTTAAGGGGGATTTCGGCCTTACTGAAGTTTTATCGAATTCTTCATCTTTATCGGAATTGGTCACAGATTTTATTTGTGTCTGATTACTTAAAATATTAGAACTGTGGTCGTATTTACTGTAATTTATTTCAGTGAGGTTATTTTCTGTAAATGTAACGGAACTTTTAACCGGAGACGAAGATCTTGCTGGCGTTTTCGGCGCATATTGTATTGGTTGATCTTGTTCATCCGTAAAAGTTTCCACATTTTTATTTATTTTTTTGTCAGTAACGGGAGTATACATTTTGGTTTCTTCATCGATTAATTTGTAGTGATCATTTTTTAATTGCTCCGTATTTTTATTATAATGGTTTTCTTTAATATTATCTGACGTACATTTGTCAGGCGATTTTCTGTGAATTTCATTAAAAGGTTTTCTTTCTGGACTTTGTTTTGGATGTTGCGTTTTGCTCGGTCTTGTTATATTATTTTTATCTGGGCTAACACTTCGTCTATCAGAATAGTCCTTTTTTTCAAGTGATTGTTTCACATTGTAATCAGTCTCAGCATCAGCGTTTAATGGTTTCTTTTGACAAGGTTGGTCATAAGGGGTTTTGTTCTGTGTTTCATCGGGATACATTCTATTATCTATTTTTTTATTTACTCCTTCCTTGACAGGACTTGTTTCGCGTTTCTTGGCATCAGGAGAAGAGGGATACTCATAATGAGACTGTGGCGCAGGACTACGCCTTATATTAGTTGAATCTTTAACTGGAGAACTACCACGACTTGGTGATCTTGCAGGAATTTGACCTTTATTTTGATTTGGTCCTGCACTTGCTTTTCTCTCAGGACTAGAAGTAACCCTTGTGGGCGATGCCTTGTGTTCTTTTGGTTCACGATTAGGGCTTGGACTTAGTCTTGGCGTAGGTCTAGACACATTTGATCGGTCTGGCGAAATTTTGCGAGAAGATGTATTGGTGTAAATTTCTGTATTCTTAGGCCGCTCAGGGCTTAAATTAGGGTTTGTTGGAGTATAATTGCTTTGAGAAACACGCGAAGGAGACGTAGTTTTATAGTCAGGTCTTGTTGATGAAGGATGTTTTTCAGGACTTACGCTCGATCTTGGTTGGTACCCTTTTTCAGCTTTCTTTTCGGGGCTATAGGATCTGTTAGGAGATTTTGAACTTGGTGTAGCATGGTGATGAATGTCATCAGTCCGTTTATTAGTTCTGATTTCTGTTAAAGAATGCGTCGAGTGAGTGCTAGAATATCTTGAGGTGTTTCGAGTCGGAGACGATCTATCAGTTTTTGTAGGACTACCACCTCGGCTGGATGGTTTTTTATAGGCTTTGTCAGGGCTTCCCCCACGGCTAGTAGGGTTTCTGTAAGTTTTGTCTGGGCTGACACTACTTCTTAAGGAAGAATTACTCGATGCAAAAGTTCTGCTACCCGGTGAAGAAGCTCTAGTAGACGGACGGGTCGGAGTATCCGACCTTAAGGTGCTAGCCCAAGCTTGATGTGAAGGGCTGTAATCGGTGCTTATTTTTTTCTTGGTATAATCAGATTGATACGTAGTTTGATATGAATCTGTACTAGTTTTACGCTCAACCGTTTCTTCGACTTTTGTATCATTCTTTACGAAATGTACAATTTCTTTATTGTCTTGTTTGTACACGGTTTCATCTTTTATATCGTGACGTTTTAAACTCTGATTATCCGCAGATAATTTTATTTCCCGATTAACGAAGTTAGTGTCATCTACCTTTGTTACCTCATGTCGTCGAATATGCTGTTTGTCTTCCGATGTCGTTACTTCCATCCGATCTACATTATCAAATTCTTTAATGTCGTGGTGTCGGACACGATGGTCATTGTCGTGAGATATCGGTTCACGCTGATAAAGATTATCTAACTTGTTTATGTCATTGCGCACGTCGTATTGGATGTAGTCGGATAATATAACATCTCGGTGAATATCGTCTTTGACATCGCCTACTTTTCGCACCTGTTGAATGCGTCTACTATGTTGGTCATCTTCTGAAGATATTACTTCTCGTCGAGTAACTTCTTCCACCTTACTCTCACTTCTCTGTTCTTTATTGCGGCGTTGGATTTTCTCCTCGTAATCACCCTTTTTGTCTATAGAATAATCATCATGATTTCTCTTAAAATCGTGGTCATCTAAATGTCTTTGATGGTCAACAATGTCGTCAGAATGGCCGGTGAACGTATCACCAATTTTTTTAGACAAAGATTCCCTTATATCTGAGCGTTTTGTAGACGACGAAAAGGTCGAGGATTTACTTTCGCTTTGCTGCGAATGGCGCTCTGAGCGACTGCTGTGGACCACAGGCGCTCGAAACTCTCGGCGAGTGCTCGTAACTCTGGTCCCATCGGGAAGGCATCTCGTCTCTACTATTACTTTTGTATTATCATCGGGATATTCTATTTTTCTCGAAACTAGTTCTCCTTGCTCATTAGTGTTTCTCAAACTATTCTCGAAGTCGTTCCTCTTAGTAATCCTTTTTGAAGTCATTTCCTCGTTACGTTTGTTATTATAAAATTGTTCTTTTACACTCGAGTCGTCAGTTATGTACGGCACAGCGTCATGGGTGGTCGAAGAGAATTCCTGGAATTTGGAGGTAGAGGTAGAGGAGCTGGTGGTGCTTGAGAAATGTGAGCCGTCGTCGGTTTGACGAACGACTTGCTCGTGAGCGGCGGTGTTGGACGAGCTCTCGTTCCTCTTCAGGCTGGTGTTGCCGTCGTCGTACTGGGTGACAGCTTGCTTATGGTGATCGACAGCTGCAAACTGGCCCTGACCGCCCTCTACGTCGTATTTGCCTTCGATGTTTGCTTGAACAGTTTTGATGTGGGTGTGGCCATCGTCAGTCGTTCTGTTCTCGGACTCCACATTCCAGCCGGCGTTGGAAAGCTCTTTCAGATCTGAAATTAATTAAGGAGAGTGTAAGCCACATGTAGAGAATTTGTCATCACTGTTACTGTTTAATAGGCGTTAGTTCTGTTAGGATTATGTCGTTGAAGACGTGCAGGAGAACCTTGGCCACGATACGCGAACTCCTTGGGCGGGGAGCCCGCGTCGCGCACCTCCTTGCTCTTCATGGATTGGAAGTTTTGGTCCGCGAAAGACTTCACATGGCCCTGCGACGACGTGAACTCACAACCTGCGCCGGGGACAACACTACACTGGTAACTTTATATGGATAAATAATAACAAGAATAGAATATACTTTGTGAGATACAAAACACGAAACAAAACAATGTCTGTCTTAAACAACAGTTGCGAGGCAAGTATGGTCACCTTTAGTGTCGGCGGCGGGCTCCGGCGAGTAGAGGTTGCGAAGCCGCTCCTCGCGCAGCCGGTACATGTGCGCGCGGATCTCTTTCTTCCGAGAGAAGTCTTGAGTCTGCTGCCACTGTAATACACGAATTAAATTTATAATTATAGAGCTTATATTGCTAGTATTACAATTTTACTGGAACAAGCGAAACAAAGTATTGTTATTTTATTACAATACATGTTATAAATAGGCCTCTTTATGTAAAAAGGTTAATAAAAAAATAACACAAAAATAAAGCAATTATTACCATGCGACGCAGGAGATCCTCGTCGCGGATCAACGACACGTCCCCTTCGGACATTCTGTGGACATACAAGCCATAAGGTTGAGTATTATTATGTAAAAATAAGGAAATATCGCATCTACGATACAAACGAGTAGCATCAATAGTGATAGTCGACTTGAGAGCATTCCTGGGACATTATAACTTTATTAATACCTGTATAACTAAATGTCAACAGACGAAACACAAACGCATCGCAACTATGGTATACATACGAGTATGTCACGGTCAACATTTTTAATAGAACTAGGAGCAAATATGGACTTTTTATCAGCTGGCGTTATCGCTGGTCTTATTGGAAGACAATATTCCTGTAACATCCCGCTTGTTTTTAATATTGTCGTGGAACATTGAAATTGCTCAATATTTCACGAAGTGTATTATAAGCTTAGCAAATGGATAAGTACAAGTTATCCATTTGCTAAGCTATTACACCTGTGTTTCGGAACTCTTCAATTTAACACATAATTACTTGTAATTAGTATAATTTTCGGGCGTCGTTTGGTTAATTGATGCGGTGACATGTGATAGAGGCAAAACAAAAGATGTCGGCGAGCGCGCCAACCGCCAACCAACGTGACCGTGTTTAACAAACAGGAGTGACGCGCCCTGACTTTCGGTTTGATATACAAAAGCAAATGACGTCACAGTAACATCACTAACTAAGAATTTAATATCCTCACATGGTTAAGAACGTATTTATGTCAAGTTTATTTTAAAATTATTGACTTATTCCTTCCTTCCTCTCATGATCCTGAATTAAATTTTTAACAATTAAATGGGTATCTCTATTACTTGGCTTGTTACTTTTAGCTAGGTACGATGACGTATGGCCTAAGTAACGTAACACTTAAGTAATTTACACACAAATCGTTTAAAGCTACAAATAGCACGCCATATGGTCTGTAGAGGTGACAGGGGTCGACCTTATACAAACACGAGCTTAAACGAGATGTTTGTCGCGCACCTTGCTTTGGAGTCAGTGAGACATATGGCCGGGCTGCGACTGTGCGAGGCCGCGGCCATATAGGGCTTCGCCCTCGCCCCACATGTTCCTGCGCCAGTTATGGACGCTGACCTGGATAGTCGCGAGATGCAGCGACACTATGCCTACCCTGACATAAGTTGTTTAATACGAGTACATGTTTTTATTTTTCAACTGCTTTATGTATCTGTGGCCAATGAAATAAAATGAGTGCAACATGGCTCGTGTGGTGGGTCGACACACGACACATTCCTACCTCGTGTATCGTACTATGGCAGCCGTTAAAAGTTGCCTCACTAAAAGTGTTCCTCGATAGTCGATAGTAGATACTCGTAGCTAAACAACACTCCTGATAACACGAAAATTTATGTTTTCATGTAACCGCAATAAACAACTCTTCAACGACACAAACGCTAACAAATGTGATGTGATTTTTATATTTTTTTAATGCGCATGTCAATTAATATTCAATAAAGTCTTAAAAATTAGTTTCATCGTAAGCATTTGACGTAATTTATTGCGTTGTTAAAGAAATGAAATAGAAATAGATATGCAGAATTTTCAAGCCACAGTCGGTAAAATAAAGTGGTAATTTTTAAAACTTTAATAGTTGTGTACAAAATGTTACATTGTCCGTGGCCGTGTGTAGTGGGACGATCTCTAATGAATGGTAAATAAACGGTAGCATGTGTCTCCATTGCGCGCTGTAATTGCTGACGAATGGGATTTAAAATGGGAATAATTAAGGAAGAGATCACGCCCGCGCACTTCTAGCTAAATATTCTAAGTACCGTATTCACAATTGCAATACGTAGCCTTGGCCAAAGATTGTCAGAAAATTAACTGACGAACCAAGAACAGATGTACTAGATCTGCTTATCACCTTTGATGCTAGTTTTTCTTATATTCTAAGAGTTAAAGTGACGTTTTCATTTCTTGTATTTTTTGTAATAGGCGCCACCTAATGCAAAAATACATGAAAATTCAACAAATTGAGTCAAATGCAACGCCCAAATAAGAAAATGTTTTTACTTTAACAACTGCGCCTATGTGAAAACTTAGTCAAAGCCTTTTTAAAAATTGTGATCATCGAGAGGTTAATAAGTTCATACTAGTGAAGTGATGAGAACGAAAGTGTTCACAAGAAGTGATACAATGGCAAAGTGTTGCAGCGGGCAGGCTGCGAGGGCAGCGAGGGCAAGCCGCCACGGCCCTTGAACCGCGCGCCGGTCAACGCGGTTTGACTACGTCCCACAGAGGAGATACATAGACAATGTGTACTTTACAACTTATAGCGCAAGTGCGTCTCAGAGATCGAGTACTTCACGAAAATACATTTTTATAACATCGTATAAAATGAACAATACTTATAGTAGAACAATTTTTTTTTACTTTAAGAAATAATAACCTACTTTAAAGCCCTAAATGTCTTTAGATGTGCAAATTTATAGCGTTGGTTTCTCTGTAAACGAAATATGTATTACAAGGTCGTAAATTTCATAAGCCTTCCTTGAACAGTAAATATAAAAGGGTCCAGTGATTTATTTAACCAGATATTAAACTGAATTTTATTCTGCATTGGTCAACGCTTTCTTACATTATTTATGTTTTAACTAAATATTATTGTATGAGTAACGGTGAGTATAATGTGTCGTATTTGTAAACATTGCTTTTGTATTACATTGTAAGAAATAATACAAAAACAAGGTTCAATGTAGGCGTTGTTTATAAATGTAAAAAAAGGGTGAAGAAAAACTAAATTTCCTCTTTCCTTAAAGAGCTCTTCAGTCTAGCTAAATTACTAAATATTTTAACATCTAGGAAACTCTGTAAAAGTACATATAATTTTGTATATGCGTACATAAAAAATGTTTTAGCGTCGACTCTGTTCCCGTTGATCTATGCACGGGGCAGAACAGGTATGCGAAGAGAATGATATAAGAAGCGTAACGATATGCAAATGTGCGGCCTTTAGTCTGTAGTCAGTGGGCCTGAGAGGACCGGACGGGGCGCCCTGGGGCATACACAGATCGCTTAAACTTTTAAGATGATTCAAATGACGATACTTTAAAGGCTATTGCCAACCTTACTAAAATACGAACTCTTTTTACCACATATTCGTTACAGTATATATTTTTTATTACAATTATAGATTACGATTAAAACTTAACGACGTCTGTTAATAAGTATGTATTAATGTTGTTCTGGTTCGCCTACTTTCTCAAACGCCATAGAAAAGTGAATTCAAACACCATATCCGCGACGTCGTCTTACCTCGTCCTAAATGTTTCCGCGTTACTCTCCATTGAATACTAAAGAACATCTAACGAAGCCAACGGATAGTGAAAGTTCCATACAAACAATCACACAATGGAGATCCGCGGCACAATACTATGTATGATATTAACAAAGTTATCAGCCATCTATTGTTTGCTTACTGACTCAAAGACGAGCAAACTGACGATTGAATTGTTATTATTTATACAATTGACTTTTGGTTATATAAAATGAGTCACATATTTGTGTTACATTGATTAACCAAGTTCTTGGTATGGTTAAACATTAAATATAGCTTAAAAGTCACGGATAAAAGTACAAAACAAATCGTAACAAAGTAAAATATCTTTACGTATGAGCGATTTATTTTATTGTCCAATGTTTACGCGCTGTGAGTCGGGTGACGTGAGCGCGGATTATGGCATTAGCAAGTGATCTCAGACATTACCTCAGACAGGCAATAACTTGCAGCAGCTCTAGGACCTATAAAACCGCCTCGCCCGCCCACCGCGAGCCGCACCGACATGGCTCGTCCTTCTATAACATTCGTCGCCCCCGCTTTTACAATCGTTTACTTCGTTTTTACATAAAATGATATAATTCTTTGAAACCGAAATTTTGATAAAAAAAGAAACGAGTCATATATGATGTTCGCTAGTTATAGTCGAAACTGACTGTTCTTATCATTTCATAGAATAGCAGTTACCTATAAATTGTTTAATGCTGTGATGCATTCCCGAGAACCCTGATGTAACGCGGCCCAAGGAGCCTCGGTGCCTGTCACTACGGCGTCCATACTTTTCAAGTGTCACGTATCAACTCTTTATGTTTTAAAGATATAACTTTAAACATCGTTTTTAAAGGGCCACTTATTAATTAAAATTTTAAATAAAAAACAATGATTGACGGAATAATACGTGAAAGTTTAACGTATCCTTTGAAGTTGGTTCGCCTTGTACCCTTAACCTTTTCTTTGTCCTGACTTCGCGGCCGCGAATGGCCATCGTGGATCGTGGCAACAATATAACGCATAGCTGTATGTTCCTGGCAGAACTGGTTTCCTACAGCGTTTACCAGCTTTGTTAACAGCGTACCTAAACCCAGGTACTGACGCATCGTTCTGGCTAATTTTGTGTCAAATCTTTGGTAAAATCTACCAATATTAGTAAATAGACGAGACTTAATTGATGTCTATTTCGCATCTATTTATTTATTCTAAGTGTCGTTTAAGTGTACGAAATCTGCCCTTAGGAATTGCTTAGAATCCGAGTGTAGCAGTTAATCACAATTTAAATACCAGCTACTTTATTTATGAAGTCCAAATACTGACGATTACAGAGATGTTATATTTGACACGCGTGGGAGTGAAAGATTAGAACAGACATCAATTATTTCTGTTTGCCGACATTACAGCCTCCGCAAGGACAAGGTTTATGATCTTCAAATGTTTGCAATGCTAATGGCAGCTGCTGTTAATGTCAACACAATACGAAAGTCATCTGCGAACAAAACACCATCAATATTTTTCAAATGGTATTTACCAATCGATGCTTAGTTAAGCGGTTTGTTATTAATTATACCTCGTTTGTAACAAAATTACTTAAATTTAAACAAAATGATGGATTAAAAATGACCTCGAATGAGCTATGATGAGATTATGGTTATATCTTGACATAAGAACAAGTAGCTCTTGATCCGTTTGTTAAGAAATAAGTTTTGATTTACGTGCGAAAGAAAGACATAACAAGTTATCAAGT